TGTGTGTGTGTGTGAGTTTTGTTTGCTTTTTTCGGGGAGGGAAGGGGGGGGGGGTCTTTTTGCCCTTTATCCAGACCAGAAGTGGTTTGGTTGAGGTATGAGATTTACTGATAAAGGTCCAATTGAAGTACCTTCGGAACTTACTTCACTAAATACGTTCATCTGGCATCTCCACTCGCTATGGGGACAAAGAGGAGGCTATCCATGACGTGATTCTCGAGGAAATATTTTTAACTCATTTTTAGAAGGGAGACCTCAAGTAGACCTTTATCGATATATAAATTTTCAACATCATAATGTCTGTATGGCACAAGACAGGAAATTTTAACGGAAATGAAGAGAGAAGAAGAAGAAGAATAAAGAGAGAGAGAGAGAGAGAGAGAGAGAGAGAGAGAGAGAGAGAGAGAGAGAGAGAGAGAGAGAGAGAGAGAGAGAGAGAGATTAGATATAGTTCTAGAGATGAGATATAGAGTCCATGTAATAAGATCTACATATGGGCATTATTGTCTTCATTTATATATCTCTTCATCATCATTATCATTCACACTCACACAATTTTTGATAAATTATAGTAGCCACCTTTGGTTTGGTTTTGGTTTAATGCCCCATGCAACACTTTTAGGTCATTTACGAGATGGAACCTTCGAATTTTACGTCCATCTCAGATAGGACGAGAGTCGGAGCCATAAAAACTCTGAAAAAATCCTGGTGAACCTCCCTGCATCGAACCTGGGATCTCTTCATCTGTAGGCAGACACACTACCACTTAGTCATTGACGCCCCCTATATACATGTACCTTAAGTCGTTTCTGAAGACAAAGTTACCAACATTTTATTTTTGCCACAACCTTCTAATGCTTTGAAAAAAAAAATCAAATGTGACCTGATTTCTCAAACTGGCATCAAAGTCGCTTACGGTTTTGAGCTACCTGGTCAGAATGTGTTTTCTGGGGTGTTTTGGCATTTTTGTTGATAATATTTCAGCATCTTATCTTTTGGATGGTGTACGTATTGTGTTTTTGCTGAAAACTGTAAGGAAATGAGTGGGTTGTTTTTTTTAAAGAACCTGACCTATAATAAAGGGAATCCCCATCTGAAACCTGGGCAATGGGTTAACCGATTTTAATGTAAACCAGATTTCCACCATGTTTTAGAGCAGTCTGAATGCATAAACTCAAAACACCCAAAATCGACTTTGACGACGAATAGATGAATGAGGTCACAAATCTGCAATGTTTTGTTAGTTTATTTATTGAAGATTTTAAATGATGTAATTAGTATGAATGTTTATTCCAATAACCACTTTAAAAAACAGTAGGATACTCTGGGAGATGAATTAAAAGGAAGTCTTGCAAATACATCTATTTATTTAAAGAGAACAAACAATTTAAGAACAATCAAACGCACATGACTGAGATACTACAGTTTCATTTTCCTTCTCCTCCACCATTTTAATTTAAACAATAAGTCGTAAATTTTGCGGAGGTAGGCCCTCTTCCTCCTACGCGAGAGGGTGACCATATGAGGCAGAAGGCCCCTTAAACTTTCAAGCTCTTCTTTGTAATTGTTTTCGTGACCCTGCATCTTTGCTTCCAAAGAGGGGGGGTTGCGCTTTCGCATTGAAGAGATCATCATTGTCCATAGCAGGAACCCCTCCCCTCTTCCGCTGTTTTTCCTGTCCCCGGGGTTTCATGCACCCCGCATGATTTAGCAGAATTTGATAAATTTTTACATAATTTCTGATTATTTTCCTTTATCTTTATCGTTATTTGTTAAATTAACAGAATCGCATAATTTCATATTTTTGGGCTCAGCTTGCATAGCTTCAGAATTTTTTGTCTGCATAAAACCGCGGGGTTTTACAGAGGCAGGTGTAGCAGGTCTGAGGTATGATGACAGGTTCCCGAGTCTCTGAATCGGGCTCGTCAGAGGGTGGTGAAGGGGATGGTGATGATGTGCTTGGAGTGGTTCGGTTTATGTCACCCTGGCTACCACTTCCAGAGGCAGGAACCCTCCTCCCACATTGGCTCAGGCTTGGAGGAGCCTAAATTTTCCTGCATAGAGCCATGTTTAATATATATATATATATTTATATATATATATATATAAAAGGCTCCAGGAAGCGAATCTGTTGCGCCAGGTAGAACTGAGGCTTTATTCCAGCCACTAGGAACATTTTGTTTACATCTACACTGGCTGTACAAGTCTCGAGAGTTCTGCCACCTTTTCTTGGCAGAATCAGCTGAAAGTGAAAGTGAAAATGACATGTTAGGTAAAATAATCTTTAAAAAAAACCAAAAAAAACCCCACAAGTTAGCTCAATCCCGGTTTACATGGGTAGTCAGTCCCTGTCAGAATGGGTAATATAGTGCTACAGGGAGTGTCGCAAATGGGGGATTGGGTTGTACTGTAGAAAAATAAGACTGGAGCGGCATGCATATTTTATATATGTAAATATACACAAATAATATATATTAAAAAAATTTCAACTTCTTTTTTCCCTGCCAGATTTCTTGCCACTGGAGAAAGTGCAAGGAGCTTGCACTATCAGTTCCGAATGGGCGACAGCACTGTGCGCAAGGTTGTGTATGACACCTGCGAACGTCTCTGGGAGAAACTGTTGGACAAGGAAATGCCCCACCCTACTGAGACGACTCTGAAGGAAGAAGCAAACGCCTTTGAAAACATGTGGCAGTTCCCCCACTGTTTAGGAGCAGTGGATGGGAAGCACATAAACATTGAAATCCCCCCCAACTCTGGAAGTGCTTTTTTAAACTATAATAAGAAAGACTTTTCCATTGTTTTACAAGGTGTGGCTGACGCAAAAGCCAACTTCCTCGCAGTTGATGTAGGGGAATCAGGAAATCACTCAGATGGTGGGATATTCAAACATTCTTCCTTTGGCAGGGCTTTACTGCAGCAGCAGCTGCCTCTCCCGCAACCTGATGCGGTTATGGGAGAAGTCTTGCCGTATGTGTTTGTGGCTGATGAGGCTTATCCACTTCATCCAAACATAATGAGACCCTTTCCTGCCAGAGGCCTTGATGACCGACGTAGGTATTTCAATTACCGGTTGTCGAGGGCACGGCGGGTTGTGGAGTGTGCTTTCGGCATAATGGCACAGAGGTGGGGGGTTTTAAAGACAACAATGAGGGTCAACCCTGACAAGGCCAGGAAAATTATACTAGCTTGTTGCATACTCCATAATTTTGTGCGGAGACAACAAGATGAGAGTGTGGATTCTGCTGCCGAGGAAGCATCGACAGATGAAAACCCCTTCCAGCAACAGCGTAGTATTACAGAAAGATCCATGTCCAGTACTGGGAGGCCACCCCAAGAGGCAATGGAAGTACGAGAGAAATTTGCAAATCTTTTCGTCACTGGTCTTGCGGTACCCTGACAATCTGAAGGGGCTTATGTTCGTTCTGCTGTAAATCCATGATTATGTAACTTGCAATACATTTAGCTTCAGCAACTTATCAAATCTTTATATTTCTACAAATGATGTTTATTATGTATAACAATTTGCATTATGTTGTAAGTTTTATAAGGGTGACCTTATTTAGGCCACATATGGCCTCATAGGCTAACCCCCCCTCCCTAACCTTATTTAGGCCACATATGGCCTATATAAGTTTATTCTTACTAGTTGTCACTATTTTCATTATATTATAATTTATAAGTTATGCACTTGTGACAAAACTTTACTAAATTACGAGAAAGGTGCAACGTTGCGATAGCAGAACAAACTCAGTTGTGTGAAAAGGGTAGTTTTGAGCTATGTGTGGCCTAAATTTAAGGTTACCGTGGGGTCTTCGCGGTATATAGGCCAATGTGGGCTAAATAAGTACTCCCAAGTTATTTTCAATGGGTGTAAGATTAATAAATTTTTTTAAATTTTAAAAATGTTAAACATTTAATATAATTATTTGCA